TGAAAATGGTCGATTTTGGCAAATTTGTCTTGGCCACCAATTCTCAAATCGTTCGCAGCCTATCCGTTGTCAACACCTTCGATTGCACCTTGCCAACAGCATTGGGGCGCCTCTTGCAGTTGCCTTGACGGTGGTGATGGAGGTCGAAACTCCTTGCCCAAAAATTTGGGCTTTGAAGGCAGCTCCGATTTGCCAGATCATCTTCGAATTGCAGCCGTAAGCCGTTGCGAGTTTGGCGCTTAAGCCCGCCGGAACTTGCTTTTTGTCACCCTGCCTCTTCATCAGAATTGCCCCAACCTTCAATTTGAATGACGTTGAAAGTTCTATATAGGCGGCTTCGTTTCGCCGCCGGGAAGGCATGCCCCTCACCACCGCAAAAAATGGCCATTTCAGTGACTTCGTTGAAAATAGTTGTTAAACAACAAAGAAACTTTCTTTTGGCTTGAGACCCCTTGCTACAAAGTACTGCCAAACTCTCAACACTTGATAGATCGATATTGGATAGTATACTCCCAAAACATTGAAAATTGAAGCTTTCGTGATAGAGAAGTATGGTGCCAAAACTGTAGAGGAAAATTAATTCTAGACGGAAGCAGTTTTGACGCCTAAAGAGGGGGATGGATACTGATGGGGGGTTGCCTACTAATACCGGGTAAATATGGCGTTACATTGTTGCTTCAAGTGCCTACGCAAAGCAACAAGCAGTATCCGTGGTGCCTCAAAAGACACACATAGCTATGGTTTACAATAGGCTATCGGCAGTGCTTGTGCAAGGATAATAGGGTTCGAATAACATATATATTTAAATTTATATTGTGTTCAAATTATATTGTCTATATTATATTATTTACAAGGTTGGACACACGCATGCGCTGCGCACATGGCGTCCTCTGATTAATCCGGCGTACTTAGCGATCGGGCTTGTGAGGCAATGTAGGCACCTATGTACTGTGTGCCGGTGCCATACAAGAATAGTGCCGCCTTGTCCCACCTTGTCCCGTCTTGTAACTCCACATTAAGCTTGGGTGGCCTTACCCAACCCGTTTCCAGACAGTGAAGATTCCGACCGTGACTCGAGCACACAAGCACACTTCCACACACAACACAAAGCATCCCCAGAGTGACTACTTGAGTGCACACACGTCACCAGTGTGACGTACTCTTTAGTTTGCCATAGTTCCTGCGATGGATCGATCACACCCCACATGGAAGGGCCAACGGTTTGAGGCTGGGACGAAGGAAACACCACGATAAGCCCCAGCATAACAGGCAGCTGGGGCGACCCCAAAGGCAACCGCGAACCGCTGGCGGAGAGCCCTATGGAGAAGGGGGGGTAACTCGTGCTGCAAAAGTCAGCAGCAATGGCCGAAGCACAATCAAGCATCCATCAAACAAGAGAAAATCAGGGGCAGCGGCTTCATGGGAAAAATTAATGTAACGGAACATGGAATCCGACCCGAAACTCCAACCTCCCCAAAAACACAAGGTCTTGAGAGGAACCCCAATGGCATGGGCGGCAGTCACACCACCGCCGTGCAGGGCATGGTGGGAGGTACCCGGCGGAAACAGATGGGGCCACGTAGCTGCCGCATGCATAAAGATCTGATGGACCAAGGCCATGGACGGACGCCCCTCAGAACGCAACTGCCAAATGTAGGGGGGCAAAGCCTCGGAAGCAAAGTGCGCCATGCAAAGAGCACGGTAGGTGCAGAGACACGTGAGCATGGCAGGGACACAGCGGGCGTTGAAATGGCGGACCTGGTTGATCAGAGAGTCCACCCGTTTGCATTTAAAGTGGGTCTCACGAAAGAGGAGGTAGTCACCCTCTTCCACAAAGTTGCCAGCGGTGATGGGGAAGGCAGAATCACCGCGATTGAAGAACGCGAAGTCCAGGCCCACCAAGAGGGCAGCCCACAATGTAGCAACGTGGGGCGAATCCACTGCCCGTTCCAAACTTTCCAAGATGGACGCAGTGGGAAAGGCCACAATTTGATCCCAGGCTTCATCATCCGCCACCGCCAGCCGCCAAGCTTGGAAGAGCTGCTTGGTTAACGTAGTTGTGGCTGTGAAGTTAGGGACCGCAAACCAACAGTGAACGGTCGTAATGGCCGAGACATACTGGGGCCCCGACCGGACAGAAACACGCCCCTTATTCTGCAAAAACTGCACAAACGCCAAGATGCGTTCAACAGGGGCGGGAATCGGAGGGGTCCTGGATTGAGCACAGAAGGCCCAAAACCGGCAGAACTTTGCAGCCATGGAATGGCAGCTGGACAGGGCATTAGAGGACGTGAGGGCGAGTAGAATGGAAGCCTGCTCCTCGTTGGAAAGCCCAGCACCCAGTGGCATGAAGCCAGGGGCGAGAAGGGGAGGCCAGCCAGGTTGGGGTTGAAGAAGCGCCGTGAGTTGGGGAGGGAAATCAGAAGAGGTGACAGGAGCCCGGAGCGTAGAAGCGTCGAAAGGGCTGCCGAAAACCGCGGAAGATAGGGGGAAGGCATACGTAGAACGCCTCCAACTATGCACAGGCACTTGGTCAGCAGATGGGTAGTGCGCCATGGTTGATGGGGAGTATAGGAACACGGGCCATAGAGCCGCGGAGGCAACGAGCGATGGCGCAGCGGCATTGGGGCGGAGAGCCAGCTTAATCGATCAAAACCTACGACCCATGGGAAGGTGCCCCGTGCAGCCCGCGAGGAAGGTTGAAGAACCTCGCACCACCAGAACGAGGGCCCACGCCAACTGATGAAGATGGCAGAACCATGGACGGCCCGGCCAAAGAGGGGCCAAGACCATCACATGGACGGAGGGCAACTGCTCGAGAAGTGCCACCAGGCGAGGAAAAAGAGACCACGGTGGGTTGGCCCAGTTGTTCGCGGATGGCCAATCGGGGGCCGCGAAAGCATCGCCCTCCAAGCCCACGTCGTGCTACTGGTTGTTGCAGCAAAGGCACTGCCAATTGACAACTATAGCAAAGCGATCCACAGAGTGAGAACCGAACAAACTCTCCAGGCGCAAAAACAGGTCGCGCCGGAGGGTCCAGTCTTCATGGTCGGTCTCGCGAGAGATAGCATGGGGCAGGGAGCTTGCCGTTGTAGGAATCCAGTGGGGGTGGAGAACAATCTGTGTGGTGTCCAACACATAGAAGAGGGTCCTCAACCTGTGAAACAAGGGGTCCACGGGGCTCTGCATCGACCGAAGCAAGTGGAAAACCACTTGAGTGTCTGTCACCAACTGCACTTGGCGGCCAGTAAGGCGGGGCATAAAGGTCTTGACCGCCTGCAAAACCACCTCCAATTCCAGTACATTGATGTGCAGTAACCGCTCTGGGGCCGTCCAAGAACCCCGGGCAAGTGCTGGAGGAGGGGGAGGGGGAGGGGCCGCCGGTTCGGTCAAGGCTGCCCCCCAACCCCGAAGAGATGCGTCTGTAGCCGGAACCACCTGATGGGGCACCTGCCGAAAGGGGTTGCTGATCAAACAGAGAGGGACCGCCGTCCAAAAATGCAGCTCCTTGAGGGCAGGGCGGGGAAGCTGAACAAGCGACCACCACGTCCGTTTGGTGGAGAGGGCAAGATGTAGATGGCGCATGAAGAACTTGGCCGGCTAGATGGCCAGGCCAAGGAACGCAATCTTGCCCAGGAATCAAGCCAATAGTTTGGCCTTGACCAGCTGCGCTTGGTGAGCAATGAGGCTCAGAAGGGTCAGGCTGTCCCGGCAAATCTCGGCCAATTTGGTTGAAGGGGCCATCAAGGAACAGCTGGTCGAGTCCACCACCATGCTCAGCTGCTTGATCCAAGTGGTGTGCTCCAATGTCAACTTGGAAACCTTGAGAGATAGCCCCAGCTTCCGCAACGCCTTCTGGAGGTTGTGAGAGAGAGTTCTGAGCCGCCGAGAGGAGGCCATCGCCACAAGGAAGTCGTCGATGTACGGCAGAATAAACACTAAATTGTTGGCCCGCCAAATGCCAAGGAGGCCCGGCCACCATGGAGGAAGCGGACGGGCGCTGGCCAAGTGGGGGGCGCGTAGGAAACGCACAAGGGCTGCAGCCAGTTTGGAGAAAACGTATGGCAAGGTCTTCAACCCGAACGGGAGGACGGGGATCTTCCACAACAGCCTATTCACTCGGATAGTGCAAAACTTCATGTGGGAGGGATGAAGCCCAACGTGAAAGTAAGCGTCAGCAATGTCCCAAGCCATTATCGAGTCCCCCGGCTTGATCGCATATGCCAGATTGCGCAAGCCGGCCATCCAGAGATGGCGATCGGCGAGGTGATGATTCAAGGGGCGCAGGTCCACAATCAAGCGTTTGGTCCCATCGGGTTGGGGGACCATGAAAACCCGGCTCACATGGCTCAAATGGCTTGCCGGCCGGAGAGCCCCGAGCTTGAGGTACTTGGTCAAGGTCTGTTGCCATTCCTGAAGATCGTCCACCACAAAAACCAAGTTCCCCGCATCAAAAGGTGGGGATCCCAAAGGAGGGGGAGGTGAAAGCCTTCATTGATCCATGAAAGGATCATCAAATTGGCCCCAATCCAATGCCATGCCGCCAGGGGCCGCCGCACCTTCATGTGCGGAAAATCCTCGGGGTTGATCGAGACGGCACGACAAAGGGAGCGCCAACAATAGGCCGCTAGGGCCAGGGAGGTCTCCGTGGAAGGCATCCGTAACACCAGGGTCGGGTTTCAGAAGGGTAGGCATCATGTTGGGCAAGTCCATGTCCCCGGTGAGGTCAGCAGGCTGGGAGTCAGGCAGGGGAACTAGGGCACCCGAAACCCTAGGAGGAAGGGGGGGCGGATGCCACCCCACAACGCCGGTCGCATGCCGGCAAACAGTGTAGCGAGGTGCCATCAATCAGAAGCGCCCAATGCGCCCCCCGTGGAGAAACCTCGGCCACAACCCGGACCACCCGAATGGCGGCCGCCCCAGGGGCCACGACCGTGACCGCGACCGCGTTGCCCAAAACCACCAGAATTGGAAGATCCCCGGGTAGCCGCCGCCGCGGCCTACTTCTGGTGGGTGGTAACCAACTTGTCGGCGATGGCTTTGTCAAATGCCACCACCTGCTCCAGAACCACCGCAGGATGAGCGCCCTTGAGACAAAGTTGAGTTTGAAACGCTTGAGCCACTGCTAGAGGTGGCCACCCGGATCCGTTAATAGCGGACAGAGGTTATTTTCCGTTAATTAACAGAAAATTAACGGAAATTAACCTCTGTCCGCTATTAACGGATCTGGGTGGCCACCTCTATGGCGCACCCGAAGGGAATGAACGTGAAGGGCACACAACGCGCCATTTGTAATGGCGCGGAAGCACTCCACGATGCCAACAAGGGCACTCCAATGGTCAGAGTTAAAGTCCGCGGCAGCCAAGAGTTGGTAGAGGGTCCCGGTAGCATCAAAGAGGTAGGATGTAAGGGGCGCCCATGTGCAAACCTCTTGGTAGAATCCGCAGCCAGGCCCAGAGCCCGACGCCAAGGCTTGGCCCCAAGCGGTGTTGCCAATAGGGTAGGGCTTGCCAGGGCAGGATGCAGTCGCAGGGCGGGGGACCAGGTTGTTGGCGAAATGGGAGAGCTCTGCTGGTGAAGAAAGGGCATGATGAGACACGCCTTGGCTCGCGTCGCCGGTGTAATGGTGGCAGAGCACAACAATGCGCTCCAACACTGCAACCCGCTGAGCCTCCTTCGGGTCCAAAGGGGGGGCACCGAGCTAGGCTTTGAGGACGGCAATCTCATTGCGCAAAGCTTCATAAGGATCGGCAACGTCACCCATCAAGGGGCGGGACTCTATCCCCATGGGAGGATAGGATTGCTATCATGAACTGGTTGTGATTGATAGCTTTCCTTGAGGTAGCTAAGAGGAAACCAAGCAGCGCTCGGGAGAGTGCTTAACGCCAAAGGCAAAGCAAAAGAAAGAATAGAGCAACGGTTGCTCAAAAGGTTACCTTTTGCCACACCTCTAAGTCCATGCCCCAACCGGTACAAACCCTTTGAGTAACCTTTCAACACAAGTTACTCACTGTCCGGTGGGCACCCCGCATATCCAGCCGGATAGCACACCATGCCTTAAAGGTCACTGGCTGTCCCACGTGAGCATGACCAATTCTTAGGAAGGTGTGACTCACTCACTGCCGCCCTCAGTCCAAAAGAGGCGGCACTTGTCCCGGCAAGTCTAACACCTCCTAAAACTTCCCTCCCAATGGCCTAAGCCCGTTCAACTTCATTCACTGATGTCAATTACGTCGCTGTGTGGAGCACAGTCAGCTGGACTTCTCTTCCTGCCCCGGCGTTCACATGATGTACGGCAGGCGAGGGGCGGCCTATCCGGAGGAGCCAGGCAGTGTGCCCCAAGGCAACGTGTCATGAAGCAGTGCATTAGGCTGGCAAGCACCCGTGCAATGAGGCCTGGGTGCGGCACAGGCAGGTGGCAGGAGCGGTGTCCACGTGTGCCAGTGTGGCGCCTCCCAGGCGCTCGCTGCCGCCGCTCGCACCAACCTAGATACCCAATGGGCGCCAGTGGGAGCGACTACCCTGGAGGCGCCAATGCTCTCGGCATGCATCGCCGCCGCGGCTAGCATGGCAAGGAGCCCGCAGGGCACAAGAGGCAATCCGGATTGGCGCCTCATGGGTGGGCAATCCTACCGCCCGTGGAGGCCTTGAATCCCCCCCTGCCGGTGGGCTAGGTGGCCACTTGCGATCCCCATGAGGGTATACAAATTGGCGCTTGGCGGCCACCGATTGGCATCGTGCGCGGAGGTTTGGAATAGCCTCAATACGCAATGCGAGTGGGCGGCCACGAGGCGCTAGAGGAGCTGCCAGATTGGCGCCTCGCAGGTGCCCATTTGCGCTTCCCGTGGTCGCCTACAATGGCCCCCCGCCAGTTGTTCAAATGGGCGTCTGCAAGCTGCAAATGGTGCATGAGGCTGGGCGCCTTGTGGGCGCCCATTAGCACCACCCGCGGTTGCCTAGAACGGGCTGCGCCAATGGCGCGAGTGGGCGCCCGCCAGGAGTGAGCTGCACCGCACCATTGGCGCCTCGTTGGCGCTCAATCGACCTACCCACCTGGCTTGAAACGGGCCTAGCCGATGGCAGAAATGGGCGTGCGCGAGCCACAACGTGAGGGGAGGGATTCGTGCCTCATGGGCGGCTCCTCGTGCCACCTGTAGTTGCCTAAAATTGGCTGTGCCAATGGCACGAGTGGGCGCACGTGAGGCGGGAGACGCCCCGCACGATTGGCACCTTGGCGGCACCCAATCACCCCGTGAGCACCCATTTCTGCTGCCCAAGGTGGCCTAGAACGGCCCCTGCTTATGGTGCGAGTGGGCGTCCGCAAGGCGCTATACGTGCCATCGGATGGGCGCCTCATAGGCGCCCATTTCTGCCTCCCATGGTGGTCTCGAACTACCTCCACGTGTGGCGGAAATGGGCGCCTGCGACATGCGAACTGCGGGCCCTGATTGGTGCCTCATGGGTGCCCATTCCTGCTACACGTGCTAGCTTGAAATGGCCCCCCGGGGCGGTGTGAGTGAGCGCCCGGGGGGGGAGGGGGGAGGAGGGATCGGTCGACAGTAGGCACAGCACTGGCCATAACGCGGCACCCCGATCGCCATTGACAGGTCCCATATTGGATTGGGACGGGCCTGCCGACGCACCGCACTGCCTTGTTCCCCTGGCCAGCCAGATCACCACGGCGTTGTAGCGTTTGGTAAGCGATCTTCTAGTGGCCCGCAAAGCCGGCGAGCTTGCCTTTTACTATAGTCTGAAGTGGGCGCGCTTTTCAGTGGTCTGCAAGGGAGTAGTGGCCCCAACTTAAGGCCAGCTCCGTTTTTGCCTTTGTGCTTTTCATGCCCAGCGGCAAGTCTCACGCGCTGTTGTGGGATGTCGGCAGCCGCACCCGCGCCTACCATTGCTCTTGCACCTTGCATCGCCACACGCGCCCTATCGTGCCCACCTGCTTGAGCGCCTGTGGTGGCAGGTGCGGGTGGCGGGGATGGCCAGTTCCGCAGTGGGCAAAATGGCACCTCCCGCCACTTAGGCAGGAGATCCGCACACTGCGCTGCGCCACACTCTGCCATTCTGCCATGTCACGCCACTCTGTCTTGTGCCATGGTTGCGAAAGGCCCGTTGTTGCTTGAGTTTCAGCCCCCACCTCAAAGCTTTCAGTGCGTTCAAGCGTGGATTGTCATTGGTTGCTGGCTTTCACCTTGACTTGGCCGTGTTTGCGACCTCAGGTCGCCTGGCTCCCATCCCAACACCCGCTTTGCTGTGCTTGCCGGCAAGCCTCGCGGGGCGCCAAGGGCAAGCGACGCCAATCGCCCACGTCGAAAGTTTGCCCTTGGTCGAAGGGGCGCGCAGCCGGCATCGCGAGGCTTGCAGCTGCACAAAAAGGCCGTGTTTGAATGCCAGCATGGCAGTGGGCCTGTCGATGCATTGCAGGCTGCCGCTGTGCTTTGGCCTGTACTGTTGGGCGGGCCTGGCTTGATTGAAAGCGGATTATTTTAAATACTGCCAGGTTACCATTATATTATATTCCTATTTGATTATATTTTTAATTATAATTTATATTATTTAATTATGTTATTTATATTATCTGCAAGTTTTCAATGTCTCCCGACTTCAACGCGACAATTTCTTGGCTTACATGACGAACTATGATCATGATCCAATTTTAACACAAAGAAAGGACGCGCAAATAAACGAGCACAACTTTTATGTTCTACCTCTAGGAAGAAGACTGCTCTCATTGCAAGAATGACACCACATAATGTAATCGATTGAAGGTTTACTTACATTTCTCAGAAGGAAAATAGCACCCAATGCGATTACACTTAGCGCTCCTGCCAATGCCACGTGCACCTTCCACAAAACCTGCAAATAGCAGCAATTCCTTTTCAGAACAGAACGCACTGTGCAAGTCGATGTATACATTCATTTTCGCACTTTCAAATTAAAACGTCCGTACTAGGAAGCTGTTCTATGGCGAATTCCAGCAGCAGATGAATATCGGCAAGAAAAGACCATAAAGCAGGTTGGCGGTGATAAGGAAGGCAAATTTCAAGTAAGAAATCACATTCTCCTAAGATGCCAGGCCGGAAATTTTCGCTCCGACTGATGAACCATAGGTTTATGCGAGATGAAAGAAATTCCCTAACAGAAGGTATCCAGTATTTCCTCATGAAACCAGACACTGCCTCAAATCTTCAAAATAAAGGCCTTCTATTCAAATGCACGGCTGCGACCTCTACATTGAATTGCGCTTTGCAAATAGTCACTATTGCCTACAGTACTAAAGCTGGAAAATATCGAAGCGAAAGTTATGTTATATTGCTGACGGACAAGCTTGAAATGCATATGCATACTTGCGCACTCAATAAAAACTGGTGGGCGCATGAACATCTTTGTCATGGGCACGTGGCACCGAGACTTTGCATGTTTATATATCAAAATGATCGAGCACTGCCTTTCTGGAAACGATTTCTAGGAGTACCTGTGAACTTCATGCATATTTTTGTCATGCAGATGCTTTTTAGAATAGCGCATTTCTCGTTTGAATAACCAATTCTTGAATCTTTGCGCAGGGAACAGCACAATACGACACTTTGCTCCTCGTCATCGTCGGAGCCCTGCGGAGACAAGATAAAATCAAGAAGTCTTTGGAAATCGAAATGGCAACACCACGGCAACGCCCACCATATTTCGTGAATCCTTCTGACTGACAGGCTGCGCGTCGAAGACCTCTTCTGGACGCACATTGGCAAAAAATTGCATGCGTCCGAGGCTGATTTCGTCAGGCTCGTACTGCGACAGACTACTGTCGTTTTGAATGTTGATTCCAAGCAAGAACTTATCAATACTGTAGTCTCCGGTAGGTGATGTATCTGTGGGACCTGAAGCACTTCGAAACATTACCTGCAGCAACAACGACAGGCTAGTTGGGAGCAAGGTTCACTGTCAGAGAAAGAGGATGGCACAACGGGCTGCAACTCACTGTCGTTCCTTAGGGTCGGGTATTGGAAACCCGGGCAGTATTCAAGACTCCCAAATGTAACTTCTGTTTTCACCATACTCTTTTGAATATTGCATCCACACACATTTGTCCACAGCAAGCATGCATCGCATTCAAATTTGCTGAGCGTTCGGCGCCAACGTGGCTTCCTGCAGAGTCGCCCCCCCAAGCTTCTGGATGCAAAGGAAATTTGAAATAAACTTGGAGGCCGTGGCAGCAGTCTTTATTCACCATGAAAAGCGCAAGACCAGCTTGCGAAAGTCATGAAAGTATTTGGGGGAGCATTTACCAACATGACTTCTACACGTTGATAAATTCCACAGTCGCTTACGTCCACCGTTGCTCTTTAGACACGCTCCATAGTCCACGCCAGTAAAAAGCGAAGCTGAATTTCATGATGAATTGCATAATCAATTTGCTATCGAGCCATGCGGGGTACCCATGCCTCATTACTCTCCGACAGATAAACTGGCAGCAAAATCCCTTGCACCATCAGTAGTAACAAATTCAACAATATTTGCCAATTGTACTGACCTTGTAGTCCACGCCAACTTTCCCTCCCATATCCTTCAGAGCCATGACGAAAACTTGACTGTTGTGGACACCGGCTTGTCGGGCTATTTCAGACACCAAAACTCGCACCAAACTCTCTTGATTGAGTTGGCTCGATACAACGTCGGTCCAATTCATGCCTCGAAACAAGACGGTTCCCTGTACGATGTCTGTTTGTTGTAGAATCTGTGCAGCAAAAAAGGAGAAGTAGCCATTGAGTTATTCTATTGCCTGCCTTGCGCACTGGAATACAGTGAGGATCTTTGTGATTTCATTCCAAAGTTATTGGAATGCCATTTAACTTCGTGCATGCAGTGTTGAAATTAAGCTCGCTAAGCTCAAGGTGTTCTATATGTTTCTCAATTCAATATTCATCTGAAGTTTGCATTGTGGCCTGAAAATCCAGAAGAAGATGCTTGGAAAGCAGGCAGTCTGAAAAGACTCAGCCCGAGAATATATGCTCTGGGTGGTGTGCTGGCTTGACTATCCAACATAGAAAAATCCACCGAGGAGACCGGCAGTCCGCTGCAATATAATGCTTTGCGAAAGCCCATTCATAACAAAGTTACACAGGAGTTTTGCGTACTCTTGTGAGTGCATTGCACATTAATAAGAGTAAGATCATGGAATGCTATTAAATATCAGAATGTTTTAGAGAGTAACCAAGTCGAACATTTTTGTCGTTCCTTTATAGAGTTGTGATATAGCTATGCCAAACCGTCTCTGTGCTTCCACGATACATTTGACTGTGCAGATGAAATCTGAGGACAAATTCCACGAACAAAGTGCAAGAGTGCCGGTGCTGCATTTGGTTCCCACATGGGTGTGGGCGTTTATGGGTACTTGTGAATTTAGTAAATGGAAATTCTGGTAGTGTGATATTAAGAAACTTGAAGTACAGGACATCATAAGGCTAGTGGCCTGAGTGTGGATAGTGAGTCAGTAGCCATTGCCTGCCAGGGAAAGAGAGGTCGGTCTGCTGCCCACATTGCTAATTTAAATCGAATCCACATTAAGTGAACTGACAGCTAAACAACGGCTAGTCACAGAAAATGCACCAAACACAGATAGGTTTAGCAGTGTTTTGTGAAAAAAATCCACAAATACCATCAAAAGAAACAGTTTTTCTTGAACAGTTTTTAAATTTGGGGCCGCAAACAACAGTTCTGATAAGCACACGACTCACCCATGGCCATGTATAAAAGCCCTTTAAGTCATATTTGGGGCCAGGTATCCACCGGAGCCTCTCTGCACACGGTCTTCGTCTAGTCCAGCCAGCATCAGCCTGTCGTCGAACAAATTCTTAACATTATCACCGCTTCAAGTTATTATAAATTGCCAGTTATGCACATTATTCTGGCTTTCTAACAGTACAAAATTCATATAATTTCAAGGAGAACAAAAGCCATTGGGATTAGGGTGAATTAATATTGAATAAATGAATACTCAATATTGAACCACATATTGGTAATGCTAAAGAATAGAAGAATTGAAAAAAAAACTTAAGAAGACTTTGGTGAGTGCAGTATTAAATATATACACCTATTACACCCATCAAGGTCCTTAAGGGAATGAGATTTTGCTCTAATTGATTGCAAATCGCCCAAATTGTCAAATTATGTTGGCAGCTACGCCCCGCAATGAGGCCACAGCGAGAGCCAACCCTTCCACAGAAGGCAACTTATCTCAAAAGGCGCAAGAAAAGAGGTTCTTGGTGCTTCTTCAGCCTAATGATTGACGCCCATCGTGATGGCAAGCCCGAAGACGGTTATTTGTCTAAGTTCTTAGCCATCGTCGTTTATTGGCTACGTGCAATCCTTCACAATTTCGACATGTTGCATAGCTTTTCCTCATGTGGAGTGTACTGTGAGGAATGAGGACGCGAATCTGACAATCGTGGTCTGCTAGGGCCACCACGGGTGTCTGTGACTCTCGGACTGTGAGGTAACATCATATCGCAATCGACTCACCACAGTGGCGTCAATCCAATTGCGTACTGCACTTATGCGAGAGTAGAACCCGATACTATCAGGATGGCTGCAATTAGGTCCATATGAAGTGAGTGCCACGACGAGATCCTTTTCCGGCTTCCCTTTTGCGAAATATCCTCCTGGCATATCTGGTATGAGAGCAGGCCCGCCGCTGTCGCCTGTTTCACAGCAGCAATGCAAATTCAATAGAGAACAGGCAGCTGTAGCAATTTTGTGGGCATGCACTATTACTGTCGTCAGCTGCCCCCACAGCAGCTAGGAAGGGGACCGATCTGTTTCAAGAAAAGACATTTGCAGTGAAGATTTTGCTTTCTTAAACAACACTGTCTGTTGCATGCAATTCATTGCCAAAAGGAAATGCTTTGAGAGGTAAAGCATGATTACCTCCTTGCATCGATGTAGGTGATTACCCAGTATATGGTATGGCGGCACCCATATAGAATGGCGGCAACATGATTGCGATTTTAGCACACAGAGAAAATATTCCATTTAGATTTCTGGTGGCCTAATAACATCAATCAACAAGACTTACATGGCATTGACAAAATCCACACTGGAAACCAAGCAATAGAATCGCAATCAGAAGGAAGAATTTGGATATCCATTGCCTGCGCGTCACGTTTGTACTCTTTGGTGAATCGCTTTTGCGGGCGTGCGCGAATGCATTTACCTGCACATGTGTTTTCGACAAAAGGAGGTGGAGCCTTGAGACATAGGAGCAATTTGTCGTCTACGGGACAAACTTTGCGGCTCCAAAGCAGCTTCGAATGCATCCCCATCTGCAGGGTTTCTGTGTAGTGGGCTGCCGTGGAATGTGGCAAGCCCCACCCCAGTGTGTACATCGTCATCTCGCAGTGCAGGAACAGGTTCGGATCTGCCAGTTGTGGAATTGAAATACCTTCCACAGGCTCAGGGAGGAACAGTAGCGCAACGTCGTAGCCATACTCGATGTGTTCTGGAACGTAGTCAGGGTGAATGATGGTTTGGGTCACCCTAGTTGACTGCAAAATATTAAAGAAATGTGAAATATTTGGAAAAATGTGAAGCATTCGAAAAAGCGACGGACCATCTGTGCCAGAAGAATTTGGCAGTCGTGGGATGTCTTTGTGGTCATTTCAACGCTCCCTGTTTGGAAAGAACTGTCCATAGGGATCATTTTATAGATTGGCACGAAAACTTCAAAATACGAGACTATTCAAGAAGCTCCATCAACAAAGCATTAGGTTAGCATGTGCGCAGGGCAATATGCAAATATTCTTGAAGTCATAACAACACAAGTGACAATCTACCTAGCAGTTTTCAAGAGACCAGTATCTACAAAATCCCATCCAGGGGCACCACAAGAACGAAGAAACAACTGAATATGCAGTTCAGGAGGTAAGAGCGGTGTATGCACCAGCTTTTTAACATGAATGGAAACGCACCCAGACCCCGTTTCCTTCCTTGTCGTTTCTCCCGCATATTCCAATGTACACCAACCGGTTCCTTGCTGCCACTGCCAGTTGTGCTGGCAGAGCTTTCTCATGGACGCAGTGCGCAGCCGTTATGAGAACACTGGGGTGGATCAGGATTGCCCCACAAATGTGAGTATCTTCATGTGTCCGCAAGCTTGCCATGTAGGGAAAACGTCCACAAGGTGCGTTGGTACCATTCTGGACAACAAGGTAACTGAAAAGTTAGAGTATCAACAACAACCAATCCAGAAGAACCTGCAAAAAAAGGATTATTGATGCTGCGCAGTGATACAAGTAGGGTCATAAACACACCATGAATATGATTGCACAATATCAAGGCATTTATGCTTATCAATGTATATATTTCTGTTCTTGAGAAGCAACAAAACCGCAAGTGAATTCTGCACCTGGCGCTATCTACGCATCTTCCATACTCCCTCTTGATGGATTCTCTGCACCAGATGAGCGTATCTGAAAAAACAATGGCCGTGCCATTACTGATTGATACAACCAATTTAAGGGCTTCCAAAATGGGATGAACGTGCAATTTCGCGCAAGCACAACAGCGCAATCGACCAGCATACTATGTGCCACGTTCAGTAGCAAGCCTCTTGGTGCAGTAGGCTACAACGTTGGGAATTTCACGTACATGTATAAATTGCATATTACCCAATTACGTGTTGCTCAATTCGCGATCCCAAATAAAGAAATAAACAGCAAATTTTGAAGTACAATAGATAGACGAACAAAGTTCAGAATCAAGCATTCTTCTAGCAAATTCAAAAAGAACAGAGAGACAACATGAATGCAGGAAACGAAATGCTGAAGATTTGATTCAAACTCTTTCCATGCATATACTACCTCTGTTCCAAAAATATTGCCGCATCTGTCATTTGCACCAGCGGAGGTCCAAACGCGCAAGTCAGAAAAACTACCTAAGCCAAATTTGACCCTCCATACCCAAGAACTTTCCACAGAGCTCTTGAGCGTGGCAAACGGTGCAACCATTCTTGCGAGATGTTAAGAAGAGCTGAAACGCCACTTTTCATTTTGCCGAGACCTTGAGAGGAGTATGGCGAGCTCATCTCGCCCTTTGAAGGAGGCGGATCGAGCTCGGCTATCGCCATGTGAGAGGTTGGCTTGGTGGCTTTGTATGCAATGAAGACTCGGGTAAATTCAATGCGGAAACTACAAAAGAAAAGATATGGGCTTGCGGCAGATTTTCGGATGTCAACTAGAAATGTACACGTGTTGAGGCCAAAGGCCAAGAGACACCTAGATTTAGTGCAAGACAATTGGCTTCGCCGATTCGGCAAGGTTGTGAAGGCCGTTCACGCTGCCGGTAACCCAAGAATGGCCTAGGTTGATGCTGGCAGGGCCAATCGCTAAAATTGAGAATTTTGAAGACATGAGTCAGCACAGCGGAAGAGATGGTCCACAAAGGATGTGATTACAATTATGTCGAAATTCTTGAAAGGTCTTTGTGGTGCCTATTTGTATTCTACAAAAATTTCGTTAATGTTTTTGGCGAAATAAGTTGGGGCACATGGGGATAAGGTGAGGACAAATCTACCAGGTATTG